AGATAAGAAAATGCCTCATATCATGTTCTTTGCAGCAGATAACATTCCTCCTTTGGCGGAGCTGAGTTACCATTATAATTATTCCGTGGATCAGGTACGTGACTCCAATGGCAATATCAAGGTGAAGAAATGCTATTGTGGATCTTCAGAGTGTAGCGGTCGGATGTACTAGGGGTTTGTAAAGCTTTATTTCAAGTTGAGGTGAATAATTCCTCATATTTGATTTAAGATGTTTCACTGCAATACATTTGTCCTCCTTATGTTTTGCTTTTAGCTGCATTTGCACGAATGTTGCTTTCCTTTCTCCATCCAAGAATCATGCTGCATAGTTTCAGTATCTACCTCTTCTTTCCCTATTGCAAATGGCAATGTAGTGTATTTGGTACGAGAAAAGTCATATTCGAGGAAATATGTTTTCCAGGAGGTAGTCAAATTTTGATGTCTGGTACGAGAAAATATTTTCCAAGGAAAAACTTTTCTATTAATATTTGGAAAATGACTTCCCTAACTTACATGCGGAAGTCACTTCCTTTAAAATGTCTTCTAATTTCATATCATTTGCTCCAAATTGATCTTAGACATCATTAGTCTAATCTTTAATACTCAAAGATTTCATCAAAACACTATCTAATTTGCTAATACTATTACTAACCTTTAATATTCTTTTCCGAATTTCTTTTTACTCACAACAAAACATCAGAAAACATTTAATATAAAAATACTTTTCATATAGAACATTTTAAAAAACATATCTTTCATAGACAACGTTTTCACGAAATTTTGTTTTTCATGAAGAATGACTTCTGTCGTATAAAACACACAACATTCGCTACATTGTTGATATATGCATAATGATTTTGCATGGACAGTCTCTTTTTGTCTTCTCAAGTCGAGGGTATATCGGAAACAACTTTTCTATCCCTGCGGGGTAAAGGTAAAGTCTGTGTACACGCTACCCTCCATAGACTCTACTTGTCGGATTTTATTGGATCATTGTTATTGTTGATTTTGCATGGACAGAGAAGCTTGTTTGGGTCATGGACGGAAAAAGTTCACATTTTGAGAGGCCCTTCCTACTTAACTTTTCATACTTTTGGAAAACTAGCAATTAGCTAACATAAATTTTAAGGTATAACATTTTACATAATTATGTTTTAGTTCTACTAGAGAATCGAGAACAATAACATAGATTTTAAGGTATAACATTTTACATAATTATGTTTTAGTTCCACTAGAGAACCGAGAACAAGAACTCACGCCTTGATAACTTATATAACATAGGGAGAACCGTACCCCAAAAGTTAGCTATTAAGGTGGGAAAACCCAAGGCTATTTATAAACGCCACATTGGCACATTGCAATACCGATATGGGACTCAAGTCCCATAACTTGCATTGGACCATAACAAACCGGCGTCAGGCACAGAGGGCGGTGGGTGGCTCTGATACCATTGATACAACCTAGGGAGAGCCACAATCCAAAAGCTAGTTATTAAGATGGGAGAGACCAAGTATAAACCCCACATGAGGACATTGCAATATCTCTATGGGACTCAAGTCCTATACCTTGCAATGGACCATAACAATAACTCAACAGTCAACAAGATAGAATAGTGAAGAGATTTATTGATATATATATATATATATATATATATATATATATATATATATATATATTCGTGAACGAAGTACAATGACTTAAGCCACGATAACTCGAGACTATATTTAATTAAAAGCACCTTGTTCACGGAGGGTGATCCCTAATACGCAACTAATCTATATATAATTTTATTCTGTAAATTCTGACAGCTGAGACATCACCAAGTAGCGCCACTAATATGTGATAACACTTGTATTTTCATGTCTAAGAGAGCTGAATGTATATATAATAGCCCAGCTTTCCATTCAGCAGGAATTACAGCCTTGTCTGACTGCACCCATTTGGTTTCAGCACCAGCACTTGTTAGGAACCTCACGTTAAGTTCTCCACTTGGTGGGCTCGATAGGTCGAACACTGCTCCATAAACCCTCCTCATTGATATCCATTCTTTTGTTTCCTCCTGCATCAACATATATAATAATAATTAAATATATGCCAAGGTAGGCTCACATTAACATGAAAGGTTGTAAACTCGTCCAATATTGACATCCTTTATTTGTCTATGAGACCAGTGCCGTACGCAAGATATTTCATAAACGGTATTACAATTTGAAGGAGTGGAGTAATGAATAAATCACTATTAAATATTTTTATTTTTCTTATATATCTAATAAAAAAATCGACGAAATTGTGTCACATGACACCACATGCAACAAGGTGCATACACCTGTCTATTGGAAAAACCAAAAAGTTGATAGCCTAAAAAAGACTTTGTTAATATGATAAAATGAGACTTGGACAGCAAGAATGTCAGTAGCACCACCTTGATTCATAACAACTATAGCAAGATAGTGAGGGTACTTGCTATGTTCGTGGATTTTAAGCATGAGATTTCCATATTTGCAAGAAACTCTACGATATTCTACTTCAACTACGCCTTTAGCAAACAATTGCTGAGCCATATTAGGTTGCTTAGCCAATTTAGCATAGGCGCGGTAGCTGAGAATGAAGTCTGTTCCATGTCCTTCTCCAGTGTCCGTCACCACTACTTTTGTTCCCTCGTCACTGCACAACCCCTTGTCCTTGCACCTTACCTATAAATTTTCTTTGTTATCAATGCTATTGAATAATCCAACTTCTTTTTGTTTATCAATGATTACTTATAGTTAATATTTTAACTGACCTGATAATGTAAAAAACGTAGAGATTAATAATTACAGTACCTGGTAGCAAGCTCCACAGGCAGCTCCATTTTTGTAAAGCCGTTTGGAGGCTGCACAAACCTCCCCATTGTTGACATCTTTGCCATTTTCTCCATAGCCACACGCTCCGGCTGATCAAAATGTACGTACAACAATTAAATGTTTAAAATAGCTAGTGCATGCACAAGTTTACTTGATTATTTTTGTGTGTGTTAGTGGGAGGGATTAAGATTATGTATTTATAATTAGATGATGATCCTACGAAGTAGTATAGGGAGCTCTTAAATTTAGTTACATTTTCATCTCATTTTGAAAGTCAAATTAATCATTGTTTGTCAAAAAATTGACATTAATTTGATAAGTACTTCACTCCTTCCATTTCAATGTAGATGATGTAGTTTTACTTGATACAAAATTTAAGGAAGAAAAAAGTCTTTTGAAATATGTGACCCTGAAAGCTTAAGGGGCACAAACTTTGTGAGGCCATAATATTTTTGTGGCTATAAAAGTTTCTCAGTAAGAATAGAGTGGGTAAAATAAAAAATTTAAAGTTAAATTATTTTCCTAATAAGAAAAGTGTGTCATTTAAATTAAAACAGAGGGAGTAATATTTAGAAATAAAGTCTTGACATGAGGTCAACTAAAAAGTTTATGTACCTACACAATTAGATAATGAATTTTAGTTTCAAGAAGAGAATTATCACCATAAAACGTAGTAATAAAATTAGGAAATTATGATAAAATTGACAATTATTTTGGAAGCTAAGGTGAAAAGGGCATACTTGGTATCCCCATGCCATCAGGGGTAGTGTAATAGGCAGTTCTGGAAACATAATTATTGCTGTAGCAAAGCGTAGGCAATAGCAAAACCATGCAGAGAAAAATGCAATTATATTGTTGTTGATAGAGATCATTTTGCCTTAAGAAAGAGGTAGAAAAGGCAGAAGAAGTGTAGTTAGAAGAGTTGTGAATGGGATATTCGAGTGAGGAAATCCTATAGCTGAGGTTTACAGGGTCCGGGGTCGACGATTGCTGCCACATTTCTCTTTCCATTATAGACAGTGGAAAACAGATGGAAACTAAAGAAAACTCTGTCCTAAAATATACTTGATGACACACAATTTCACTAATTGCTTAATCATTCAACACTGTAAACCTGGAAAGAACCACATACTCCATTTCCCTCCAGATTTTCTACCAAGAAATAGAAAAAGGAACAGACTTAATTAAACAATTCACTCTGAGTACATGCTTTGGTAATAGTTTTGAAGACAATTGAAAAGATCTCAAATTTGTCAGTGTTCACTTCCCCATTTATGCTGCATTTTAATTTTAATTCTATTAAACATTTCAGTCTAACAAAAGGGAAGTGCTCTAAAATTTGTACAGGTGTATAGGTTCATACGACAACAACAAACCAGTGAAATTACACACGTGAGATCTGGAGAGGCCGATACTACTAGTACGACTAGAAGAGACTTTCGACTACCTGTCAACCCACAACCCTAATCAGGGGCGAAGTCACCTTTGTATAAGGGTGATCAATTGACCACCCTCCACTAGAATATTACGAAAAATTACACTGTGTATATAAGTAAAATATTGATTTTAGATGTGTAAAATATATATTGAACGCCCTTTGTCGGGAATTTTTTTTAGTTCTTTTAAGTTTGAACACCCTTGGAAACATTTCTGGCTTTGCCACTGACCCTAATGCTCAACCTCCACACCTTCATATCAAGGGTCATGTCCTCGGTAAACTGAAGTAGTGCAATATCTTGCCTAATCACCTCTCCCCAGTACTTCTTAGTCCTCCATATACCTATCCTCTAACCCGCCATGGTCAACCTCTCACATATCCTAACCGGAGCATCAGTGTCTCTCATCTTCACATGCCCGAACCATCTCAACTTCGATTCCCGCAACTTGTCTTCCACAGGAGCCACACCGACCTTGTCCCTAATTAATAATTTCATTCCTAATCTTATCTTTCCTAGTATGCTCACACATCCATCTCAATATCCTCATCTTTGCTACTTTCATATTCTGGATATGAGATTTCTTGACTAGCTAACACTCGGCTTCATACAACATAGTCGGCCTAACTACCATTTTGTGAACTTGCCCTTAAGTCTTGACGGCACATTCCTATCACACAAAACACCAAACGCGAGCCTCCATTTCATCCACCCCACTCCAACACGATGTGTAACATACTCGTACGTCAATCTCCCCGTTCCTCTCAATACCACACATAAGATATTTAAAACTATCTTTCTTGGGATGATTTGTGTATCAAGCTTCACCCCCGCTTCTGTTTCCTGCGTCTCCACACTAAACTTGCACTCCAAGTATTCTATTTTCGTCCTACTTAATTTGAAACTTTTAGACCGCAGGGTTTGTCACATCCAGCCTATCGTTAACCCCGTTGCGCGTCTCGCCGATCAACACTATGTCATCTGCAAATAAGTATATGTTCATACGATACAGGTTAATATCAAAACTTCATTTCTACCGGTGAAATATATAGTAAACAAAATAATGATGATTTATTAGGCAATATTTGATGATTTTTAGGTAAATATCACAACTTTTTATAATGATATTTCAAGATACTGTATTCATTGATATGGAGTAACAAATCATCTTTATTTCAAATCTACAACATCTTCATCTTCAAACTGACTAATGGATGATCAATAAGACTTGGCAACATGTTCTTGTTTGATCGGACTCTTCAAAGAACGAAGCATAGCTTCTTTCATAAGCTGCGGTTTAGTTTTATTTTCTTTATAACATAATAAGACAATATTATATCTCCTGTAAACTTAATGAAGAATGAAAACATTTTCCATGAGAAAGAAGAATGAAAACAGTTTATATTTATATTTTCCTGCTAGTACTGGTGCATTACATTTTTTAGGAATAAATAATCCTCATGCCCTCTTTATAGATTAAGACAGCAAAGTCGATGGCTTTTTAATTTTGTCCGAGCATAAGCAATAGCCCTGTTCGGTCAAGCTTCTAAAATCAGCTCATTTGAAAAGTATTTTTTCAAAGAGTACTTTGGGAGAAAAACAGTTTGTGTTTAGCAAATTAATTTGAAAAACACTTACTAATAGCAATTTGTGAAACAAAAAGTCGTAAATCATACAATAGCCGAAGATCTTTGATGTTGAGTAATTTTTCTTAGTCTTTACTCGATGATACACGATTTCACATTTATTATTCGGTCTCCTCTCATAATTAAGCATCTAATTAAGAACTAGATAGTGTTTGACCAACAGATATTGAAACCTTTTTGATTAAATCAATTAATGAAGACGAAGATATAAATCTTAGCCAAGTATAATAAAATCAAGATTAAATGATGCAAGAGAGGTGTTGAATATGGCAAACTATCCCACATCGGTGGGGGGACTTAATTTGGGGGAGAATTTCACCCTATAAAAGAAGACCTAATGTTTAGGATTTAAACACACCTCTCATTTGCCTTTTATCTTCTTAAGGCATTTGTATCTTCTCTCTTTAGTATTATTTCACTTGTATTTTTGGAGTGGAATAAAATATTAGTTGTGTCCGAGGAAGTAGGCAAAATTGGCCGAACCTCGTAAATTTTGGTGTTCCTTTTATTGTTGCTTTATTGTCTTATTTATTATTTGGTGGCTGTCATAATTTTTGGTATAGTAGTTGTGACTCATTCACACTATATACATTTGGCTTCAGCAACAATTGGTATCAGAGCCAATGTACTGTCTAAGTATGCTCTGTGGTTGCACCATAGTCTGATCTTCTACATCAGAAAAGATTTATCTTGGTAACTGAGTCAAGGTTCTGTCTGAGTATGCTCTGTGGTTGCAGCATAGTCTGATCTTCCACATCAGAAAAGATCTATCTTGGTAACTGAGTCAAGGTTCTGTCTGAGTATGCTCTGTGGTTGCAGCATAGTCTGATCTTCCACATCAGAAAAGATCTATCTTGGTAACTGAGTCAAGGTTCTGTCTGAGTATGCTCTGTGGTTGCAGCATAGTCTGATCTTCCACATCAGAAAAGATCTATCTTGGTAACTGAGTCAAGGTTCTGTCTGAGTATGCTCTGTGGTTGCAGCATAGTCTGATCTTCCACATCAGAAAAGATCTATCTTGGTAACTGAGTCAAGGTTCTGTCTGAGTATGCTCTGTGGTTGCAGCATAGTCTGATCTTCCACATCAGAAAAGATCTATCTTGGTAACTGAGTCAAGGTTCTGTCTGAGTATGCTCTGTGGTTGCAGCATAGTCTGATCTTCCACATCAGAAAAGATCTATCTTGGTAACTGAGTCAAGGTTCTGTCTGAGTATGCTCTGTGGTTGCAGCATAGTCTGATCTTCCACATCAGAAAAGATCTATCTTGGTAACTGAGTCAAGGTTCTGTCTGAGTATGCTCTGTGGTTGCAGCATAGTCTGATCTTCCACATCAGAAAAGATCTATCTTGGTAACTGAGTCAAGGTTCTGTCTGAGTATGCTCTGTGGTTGCAGCTTAGTCTGATCTTCCACACTAGAAAGGAAATAATCTTGATTTATGTCGTCAACTATTAAATAATATTTGTGTCAAAGATGGGAGACAATAAACAAGAAGAATCTACATCAAGTGTCAATAATCGTCATTATTGGCGTCTTCGCTTATGACAAGAATTGTGTCAAATGCGAAATTTGCGGTAAATTTTTGACGGGTCAGGACATTTTGGGATGTGGCAAGGCAAGGTTCTAGATATCCTTTTCAACAAGGCCTAGATCTTGCCATTGAAGAAAAAAGACCAGATGTTATTGGAGAAGAAGATTGGAGAATTATCAACCGTGTTGCTATTCGATCCTACCTTTCTTGAGAGCAAAAATATCCATACACAAAGGAAACTTCTGCAAGTAAATTATGGAAAGCACTGGAGGATAAATTTTTGAAGAAAAACAGTCAAAATAAATTGTACATGAAGAAGAGACTGTTTCACTTCACCTATGTTCCTGGTACCACGATGAATGAACATATCACCAGTTTCAATAAGTTGGTCACAGATTTGCAAAATATGGATACAACTTATGATGATGGTGACTTGGCCTTAATGTTGTTGGCGTCACTTCCTGATGAGTACGAGCACCTTGAAACTACTCTACTCCATGGAAATGACGAAATTTCTCTCAGAGAAGTTTGTTCGGCTTTGTACATCTATGAACAAAGAAAGGGAGAAAAACAGAAGGGCGGAGAAGGAGAAACACTAGTTGTGAGGGGTCGTCCTCAAAATCAAATGAGGACAAAGAAAGGAAGATCCAAGTCAAGTCTAGACCCATCAAAGATGAATGTGCCTTTTGTCGAGAAAAGGGGCACTGGAAGAAAGACTGTCCGAAGTTGAAGAATAAGGCCAAACATAACAATGGAAAGGCCATTATGGATTCAAATGTAGCCGATGGTGATGATTCAGACTTCTCATTAGTTACAACAGAGCCATCAACATCATCAGACATATGGTTGATGGACTTGGCTTGTAGCTACCATATGTGTCCCAACAGGGACAGTTCGTGGATTTTCAAGAAGGAGAATATGGAGTCGTCCACACCGCGGATAACAACCCTCTTACCTCATATGACATTGGTTCAATACGATTAAGGAACCATGATGGAATGATCAGAACATTAACAGATGTTCGATATGTACCGTGTTTGAAGAAAAATCTCATTTCTGTGGGAGCCCTAGAATCAAAAAGGTTCAAAATCATTGCAGAAAATGGAGGGATGAGAGTATGCTCCGGTGCACTAGTGGTAATGAAGGCCAATCGGAAGAACAATAATATGTACCGTTATCGTGGTAGTACAGTTATTGGGACAGCGACAGTAACATCCAGTGACGAAAAAGAGGCAGAAGCAACCAGGCTATGGCACATGCGCTTGGGACATGCTGGAGGTAAATCCTTGAAAACCTTATCAGATCAAGGATTATTAAAGGGAGTAAAGGTTTGCAACTTGGAGTTTTGCGAGCATTGTGTCAAAGGGAAACAGACAAGGGTTAAATATGGTACATCGATC